ACATGTCGAAGTATCCTTGAGCATGAATTTGTGTGAATGGGTTGAGTGTGGCATGTAGTGTACAGTGCATTGAGTGGTCAAAAGATGAAAAAGGCGCTATATAAGTACAGTCCATTTAGGTACAAATGTATCACCAGATTTAAACTTTTAACAGTAGCTAGTGAGAATTTTACAGTGAAAAATACTGAAACAAGGTGTAACAATATATCTGACCAAATAAGGTTGTAAAATCCTTGAAACCCCATTACATTCTTTTGAGCAAGAGTACATTTTATTATCTATTAATTGAATGTTTCATTTGTAAAAGAAAGAATTCGATTTTTCTTCTTTCAGTACCTCTTCAATCTTCAATTTTCTGAGAAACAGAGGGCTTGGTATTTATTACATTATTAGCTGCTACAGGGCTAACTGTTTTTTGTAAGGTTTCTTGTAACTCCAGATTCATATTTGAACTCCAGATAAGATATGATTGTGACCAGTAATTATTAATTATTAGTGTTACATAGTTTTGACTCATCATATTTAAATAGAGAGTACTGATATTTGTAATTCACAGAGACAAAACTGAATGCTGAATCTTTACAGCCAAATTGTAACTTAACTGAATAGCAGCCAATGCGGCTACAAATGGCAATTAATGGATAATGCTAAATGCAATAACTAGTGCTTAGCAAATTCTTGGCTATTGTAACAGTAGCACAAGGTTAGGAGAGACATAAAGTTAGCCAACTGAGTCAGTAATGTGCGTAATGCAGCAATACTTACACAATGGTTGTTAACAGCTCACATTATCCACCATAACCAGCTGACTGGTCATACCAGACCAGGTGAAACTGCAGTAGTAACACCTATACTGCGCTGACCAATGGTGTGTTTTAATAATTCTCAGCTTTAACTTTAACATTAACTACATTAACTATTTTACCTTAGAAACTCTAATCATTTTGATGCTACCCTGATCTGTCATTCCCACTCTGTGCCCTCCACAGTGTTGGGCAGTAATGCATTAGTAATAATATTACAGTAATATTATTCCTTTCCCCATGTAAAAAAGTAGTGTAATTAATAAAGTTGAAACAAAATCAACTTCTCAGGAAACACAACTTGATGTTATACTGTGTTCTCCATCAACCCTGAAGCACTGTGCTGATCAGCTGTCTCCAGTGTTCA